AAAATATTCTAACATGTAATAACTTTCCCAACATTTAATAGGAGTAAAAGGGTAAACATGGACATGATAATCATTAAAATGCCTTATACATAGGATCAAAACAAATGCTTCTTTGGTCCTATTTATAGGATAGAGAGAGAATATTTATTTTGATTCTATTTATAGGATATTTCATTATTTTCTATGTTCATTTTTACATTTCTGTTATTATTAATATATTAGAAAAAATTAATAAAAACTCGATAATTCCTTTTATCTTTATTAGAGAGTAGAAGTGGAAACTTATTCAATTTTAAGACATAATTAATAAGATATAATTTTTTTTATTCTAATAAAACATGTTAAAAGTAATTTAAAAATAATATTAAAGAGAATTTTTTTGTCCTATAAATATAGGACCAAAGGAGTACACAGCTTGCTAGTTAATTGTCTTTTGCTGCTTCATAACAGACCTTGCCAAAGTTGAAGATCATGGATCTACGTGGCTCTCAAAACCTAATAAAGACGCCAAATCTTAGAGGAGTGAAGAATCTTGAGAAGCTAGACCTTGAAGGATGTAGTGGATTGTTGGAGGTTGATGCATCTACTGGAGATCTTCGGAAGCTGACGTCACTGAATTTGAGAAACTGTGATCGTCTAATCAGTATCCCGAACACCTTATTTCTTTCAACTTCTCTTGAAACTTTGAATCTTGCTGGCTGTTTAAAACTTGCTCAACGCTTGAATTTCGAAGGACCTCGATAGAACTAAACCCAAAATGAGCAAATTAAACAACACCGAATAAAGTATCTTTAATTTGTCAGTTTCTTTTCGTTCTCTCTTTTGTTTTTATTTTTTCTTTTTGGGGGCCATGTTAAAGACAATGTATTGTCATTTTATGATAATTACTTGTAAACTTCAATTAGATCCATCATTCTATTTTGGCAGCTAGTTACACAGTTTTATTGTCAGCTGAACAATGTCATCTCACATGTGATGGTGAAGTGCATAAACTTTATTTCTTGAAAACCATCCTTGGAGCGGAGGAGGGGGAGAGACGAGGACCAGGGGTCCCCCCTAACATTACAGAAGCTTGTAGATAAGGTTATCATTTCATTCTATAATCTTTCACTCCATTCGATTTTTTTTATTGAATTATCGTTCCTCTGCGTGACTGTCACGCCCTTGTATTAAAAGTGTGATCTGCGTGAAATATGAAATAAATTCATATTTTATAAACCTTAAATAATCAAAGATTAAGCAAAAATAATAATAAATAATTTTTATATAATAATAAAATTCATAAACTTTTAACTATTTTATAAAAATTTGGATAAAATATCTTTTATAATTCAAACTTCTCAAAATTTCTATAATAATAAAATCTGTTAGTCAATCCAACAAAGGAGTTTAGCTCTATACTATCAGATTTCAAATAATATTAAAGATGATAATTTAATTGTAAGTCAAATTTTTTAAAATTTCTATAATAATAAAACCTTCGACCAATAAAGATGATAATTTAATTGTAAGTCAAACCTTTCAAAATTTCTATAATAATAAAACCTTCAACCAACCTAGCAAAGAAGTTTAGCTCTACATCATTAGCTTTTAAGTAATATTAAAGATAACAATTTAATTTTTTAAATAATATTAAAAATAATATCATAATTAATTATATTTCAAATATCTTTGAGTCAATTATATCACTTCACCAATCTCAATTTATTTTTATATCATCTCGTAATCCATCCTCAATCCATCCTCAATTATCAATCATGATAACCCACATTAACGTTTCTTATACTTTCTTTACACTTAATAAAGTACTATAATAATAATTCTATTTAACCATGTCTCCTATGTTGGCATATTAAGATTTTCCGCCAATAACTCTAGCCAAAATTTACATTTATACCTCCAAAATATAAAAATAAACATTTAACAACATTCATCCACTAAATCCTTCATTCAAGCATTTTTTAGGAACATCTTAAAAGCATTGATCGTTAAGCATGAATCAACATCCAAACACTTCAAACATATAATTCTACAATCAACATTCAGCTGTGTCAAAATACAATATAAACCAAACAACACCTCAATTTCCTCAAAATCAACACAGCAGCGACACTGAAACAGAGCAAAGCGCGTCGGCCAGTAAAAAGAAAACCAAGCTTACCATACACACACTTCAACGACCAGCAACCGAAGAGGAAGAAGAGATGGAGACCGAGCACCCACACACGCACCACACGTTGACACAGGACCGAGAAGGAACAAAGAACAGTGACGGGAAAAAATCCGATGACTCCAACTCTCCCGGCAGCGGAGACGCGACGGAGAGGAACGACACAGGCTGACGGCGAGCAAAGAAGAGCAACGGCGAGGGAAAGAGAGGTAGGCTGACGGAGAAGAACAGAGGAACACGCTGGCGGTGAAGAAGAAGAAAGGAAAGTATGCTCTGACTAAACGCTCTGTAGTTCGAACAAAAGAAGGGGAAAATTCTAAACATGGGTAAAAAATTGGGAAATATTACAAGAAAGACCGCAGCATTTTCTTTTATAATTAAAGACAAAAGACATTTTGATAAATTTTTTTATAATTTAAAATTAAATAATATCAAACTTTTACTCAATAAAATTTAAACTCTAAACCTTTAAATAAACAATCAAAATAAGTTCTATTAGACCATCACTTTTCATTTGTTATAAAATTAAAATAATTAAACAAAAATAAATAAAATATAAATTAAAAAAATTGTTCAATTAAAATTTAGGATCATTAGAGTGTTATTCTTTACTCTTATGTTTTAAACCATTAATTCTACCCCCCACCTAGAGGGAGCAAGTTTTGACGGTCCTTTAATATCCCTTTAACAATGAAAACAGACCCATGGTTCATTAAAAATAAAAATATGCCGACAACAACAAGGGAAAAAAATAAAAGAAAAAGGAAAGCATGTTGTTAACAACTCGTTTGGTAATTAGATCAATGGCATGGAACGAAAAGGAAAAAAATGTGATTTTTATTATGAAAAAATTGTCACAAATAATCTTTAAATAAAAAAATACAATCGAAAGATATTTGTTATAAATATCATCATAGTGTTTGCTCCAAAAAAAAAAATCGTCATAGTGTATGTATACCCGTGCAAATCATGTCTCACTTAGGGGTGAGCAAAACCGAACCGAAACCGAAAATCGAATCGAATCGAATCGAATTTTGTCTATTTGATTCGGTCTATTTGATTTTTCGGTTCGATTCGGTTTTTTTATTTTAAATATTTCGGTTGATCGGTTCGATTCGGTTAGTAAAATTTAAAATCGAATAGACCGAACCGACCGAATTATATATAATTTATTAATTTATAAATTATATTTAATTTATAAATTATTTTATTTTTATTTTTATTTTTTATTTTAATAAAGAATAAAAAATAATAACATCACTTGAAACCCCATTTCAATCAGTCACTCTCATCAGTAGGTATTGTGACTGAATTATGAGGCTATTATTTAATCATCGGTGTTTATTTATGGTTGTTTATTTGATTATTCATGTCTTTATAATATTTGGGCTTTATGTCATATGAGTATAATTAGAATGGGCTCATATTGAAAAAAACGAAAAGAAAAAAAGGCCCAATTTTATAGTGTTGTTTGTTTTAATATTTAAAAATTAGGCCCAAACCGAAAAACTGAATTAACCGACCGAACCGAATTATCAAATTTTGGTTCGGTCCTTGTTCGGTTCGATTCGGTTTTCATTTTCAGTGTTATTCGATCGATCGGTTCTGCATATTTTGAGACCGAACCGACCGATGCTCACCCCTAGTCTCACTCCCTCAGGGGCAAAGTTGATATTTTAATTTGAAAAGGGTGTTTTTTCTAAAGTTATTTCCATTATTGATGCGGTGTGACGGCTCACCTCGCACGTCTAGTTTATGATTCACATGGAATCACTTTGCAAAGTGTCGGCCTTTTAGAAGAACCTCTTGCTAAAATTAATTTTCAGGGAAGTACTTTCCCTGAAAGATATTTTAAAATCCTTCATCCATCTAATTCTTAAATTTTAATTCAAAATAATTCAGATCCGACTTTGTAATTAACTCAGAATAAATAAATTCTCATAGTTTTTTTTAATTTAGTATAACTTAATTTCTATACTTTCTCAACTCAATAATATAAGAATTAAATTATATACGGTTCAAATTTAGGAGTTAAATCAATAATTAAAAAAATTAAGAATTAAAAATTATATTATTACACAAAATTAGCTATGAAAACAAAACAAGTCAGTAATGTAAAAGAAATGTGAATTTTCACATATGAACTATTATTTTTTATAAATATATATGAATTATTATGTCATAATAATAAATTTAAACAAAATCTTCTATGCTGACATTCCTGAATAGACCCCTTTGCGAGGAGAGCCTTACAAATAAAGCACCCGTTTAAAAAACATTATCCTATTAAGAGTGGAATCCTTTACCTTCCTAAATTTCACTTCACCTATAAACTTGGGCCACTTATGACAAGTTCACTTTATTCTGTGGACTTTTGAATGGACAGATCAAATAGCACTATTATCTTCATAAAGAAGAAAGAAAAAAAGCTTTGTTAATCTTAAAAGAGTCATCCATATTTCCACACCACGTGTTCAGAAAAATATCAGTACGTACCGGCCTCGAAGACCAAAATTAGCCATCATTCTGAGAAACCAAAGTAATAAATATAGATGTAGACTTGGATTTGAACTCTACTACAATGAAACATTAATTGATCATACTGTGTGTGAGATCAGAAGCTGGGATTGATTTCCATGGAGGAGGGGAGGCCGATCAATATTTATGTGAGTCACAGAGGGGATGACCGCAACGTTTATGAATTCACTGATAAGCTTTGTGCTGCTTTTGAAGCTGCAGGTTTGACAACTTTTGAGCAAGATCAGGATCTCAAAACTGAGGACTCACTTCCAGATTATCTTCTGAAACCGATTCATGAATCATGGGTCTCTGTATTTGTCCTCTCCAAAACCCATTCTACTTCAAAACAGCACTTCATGGAACTCAAAGAAATTGCTTGGCGAATTCACAGGCCACGCGGTGTTATACTGATCTTCTACGATCTCGATGGAACCCAGGCAAGGGAGGTAAAATCATTCCCAAATGATTTTCTTGCCCCTCACTCATGGTTCTGAACAATTTAGATTTAATATTATTTCAAAATTAGTAGTTTTTTTTTTCTTTGGTCGATGCATAATCTAATTAAATAAAAATGGGTGAGAATGACGGTGTGGTAGACACAATTCCTTCTTCTTCTTTTTTAAGCTTAAAACTTGTGCGTTATTATGAGCTTCTAATATCACTTGTTGAGGAGTGAGAGCAATCGAACGGAAGCAGGAGAAAACAAATGGGTGAAACTGTGGGAGGACTCATATCTTAATTCAAAACGTATCAATTTATGGACCCTTCCACTTTGTTATATACTAGTGATTAACTCTAACTTCATCTCCAATATATATGAGATTTCCCATATTGGTTCATATCTGGTCACATTTGCACGTCTTAACTATAATCTTTCAACGATCACTGTTGAATGAGGAAAAATGAATTTAGTGTTTTTGCAAAGAACACTAATGCCGAAAGACGCCAGGTTCTGGATGAAATCTATGACAATGTCGCTAGTCAATTCAGCAACTTCACAAGTGGAACACCTGATGATCTTTTTGAGATGTATCGTATGATGATCCAACCAAGGTACATAATTCTTTGGCTAACTAACCAACCTAACACTTCAAATTTCTGAAACTCATGAAAACTGATTTAAGTTCGTTGTTTCCATTTTTTGTTCTTTAATTCTTCAGACGAATTTCAAAAGCCATCAATGAAATTGTTAGCATGGTCATGATAGCACTGCGTCAACTAGAATATGTTGTTGAGCTAATTGGGATGCAATCTCGTGTGTCTGAAGTCGAAAGCTCTTGAATTTGGATTCAAATGATGAACTTCAAGTGGTAGGAATTTGTGGTATGGGTGGAGTAGGGAAGTCAACTCTTGCTCAAGTTTTGTACAGATCAATCTCTCGACATTTTGATGCATTTTGTTTCATAGAGAATATAAGCCAACTTTTGCGTGATGATCTATCTTTAATGGAAATTCTTGATCAAAACTTGGAGATCAAAGATCCAGAGACTTGGACCCCAAACCAACGTAGATTTCTCATTGTTCTTGATGGTGTTGATAATGTATTGGAAAATCTCGATGCATTTAATGTTGTTCTGGAATCTGAATGGTTTGATCAAGGAAGTAGAATCATCATTACAACTAGAGATGAACGAGTCCTTGAAATGTGTAAAGTGGAAGAAGTTTACAGACCTAAATTATTGAGTATGGAAGAAGCCCTTCAACTCTTTTGTATAAAAGCTTTTGGATGTGATCATCCAGATAGTGGATATGAAGAATTGACGAATAATATACTTGAATATGCTAATGGCCTTCCATTAGCAATTATAAAATTGGGCTCACTCTTGAGTCAAAAAAGTGTCAAAGAATGGAAAAGTGCCTTGGTTCAACTACAAAGAATTCCGAATCGACAAATAATGGACATGCTTGAAAAAAGTTATGACGAGCTTGATGCAAGAGCAAGGAAATATTTTTGGACATCACATGTTTCTTTATTGGGAAAAAGATGGATCGTGTGAAGGAAATTTTAGATAGTTGTGGCTTTCCAGCAGATAATGGAATGAAACTTTTGATTGAAAAATCACTCATGACCATTCTAGATCACAAAATAGGGATGCATAATATGTTGCGAGAAATGGGACGACAAATTGTTCGAAGAGGTTTCCCTTATGAGCCAAGAAAATGGAATAGGTTGTGGTATTTAGATGATATTGATTATGTTATGCAAAATGAAAGTACGGTAAGTTAATTGGCTCTTTTCTTTTATTAACATAATATATAAAAGTGTAAATTTGGTTCTCTAATTTTATATGAATTTTAGTGTAGCCTCTTAATTTTATAAAGTATCTTTTCAGTCTTCTAACTCTAATATTGTTAGTCTCGGAACAATCTTAAATGTTTGAGATTAACAATGTTAAAGTTGAAGGATTTAAAAAATACTTTATAAAATTAAAGGATTATAATAAAATCTTTGTATGAAATTAAAGGATCAAAGGTATAATTTTGCCAAAATAGTACAATCTACAAAATTAAAGTAATCTAACTTTTTTTTTTGGGGTATAAATGACTTTATTCTTAGGCTATGGAAAGATTTGAAGCTATATCCCTTGATTTGGAAGACTCTAGAAGGGCTACGTTGAGAATTGAAGCCTTGTCACGCATGAGAAATCTTAGATTGCTCATATTTCGTAATGTGAACTGTTATGGAACACTCAATTCTCTTTTTAATGAGCTACGATATGTTTCATGGCATCAATATCCTTTCACTAGTTTGCCATCAAGTTTTGAGCCTCATGCACTAGTTGAATTGATTATGCCTGATAGTAACATCAAAGAATTATGGGAAGGTGAAAAGGTAATTAATGTCAACAATATTCATTTTTGTTTGATTACACCAAAAACTAAGTATATATTTAGTATACGAAAAAGTGTTTTCTAGATAATTGTCCTTTTAATTTCCATGCTCTTTCTCATTTGCAGGTGCTTCCTAAGTTGAAAATTTTGATTCTTAGTGGCTCCAAAAATTTGACTAAGATGCCAAATTTTGGAGGGGTTCCAAATCTTGAAAGATTAGACCTTAAAGGATGTATTAGATTGTTGCAACTCCATCCATCGATTGCTAGAATTCCAAAGCTCAAATTCTTAAATTTGAGAAGCTGCATTAATCTTGTCAGTATTCCAAATAACTTATTTGGTCAATGCTCTTTGGAAATCCTAAAACTTGCTGGCTGTTCAACGTTTGCTGATTGTTTGAGATTTTATCCTTTGAAGAGCTCCACAGAAGTGAAACTACTCAGCATTTGGTATCATCAATTCTTAGAGAGAATGTTATACTTTATTTTATTTGTTTTGCCAGGACATAAGAATTATCATCAGCTTCTTTGTTGCTGTCTTTTTTACTTTCTCTGTAAGGGAAAATAGAAAGCATGTCCTGAGAGATATATGAACTTGTTTGGCAATTTATTTTGAGAATAATTTTCTATTTTTCAGAACAAAAAAATGAAAAAAAAATTGTTTGGTAACATATTTTCAGAAATTGTGTTGGAGAACAAAAAACTAAATATTATTATGGAAAATAGAAAAATAAAAATATTTTTTAGGTGTTTTGAGATTATTGTTCTGACTAATAAAGGAAAATGTAAAAACACATTTTTTTATTATTTTTTTTGTTTTGAGAATATGTTTCGCAAAATACGAATTCTCATCACAATAAAACAAAAATAATTTTTAATAAGCAGTTTTGCTAGTTTTATTATTTTCTGCTTGAGAAATGACATTCAATTTCTTGACCACGAAGAGATTTGTGGCTAGTTGAAGCTTGAGTTTCTTTCTTAAAAATATTGGCTTTGTACTCAAATATGTCGGACCCACAATATGTTATTTGATATTTCAAAATATTTCAGTGCTTTAAACTCAATAATTTCTTTTTTTAATTCCACCTGCTGGTATCCTAGAAAACTTGATATTCTCTCCAAACTAATCCAAACTCCTGCCACTTGGAATGGTTGTTATCAATAGCGACCTCATGAATATTCTTATGAATGCCTTTAACATATATATATATATATATATATGAGGATAAGTTAATTTAACTTTCACATCTAGTTCAAATAAGTGCTCTTTTAAACTCATTTACTTCACTGGTATTACACACGCATCATCTTCTCTCTCTCAGAACCTTTTTATTTTTGAAATTTTTTAATGTAGAACTAATTTTAACTAAATTTACCTTACTTTTCGATTGAAATTAGAGTAATAAAATGCTAATATTTTGATATTTTTTATTAATATATTTTGTTAATTCATAATTATCTAAAATTTTTATATTAAATTTAAAATACCAAAAATGATTTTATATCCTAAATGTTGTTCAAAACAATTAACTTGTGTTCAAAACTCAGAAGTTAATTAAATAAGCATAAAATTAAAAATATTTATCCACGAATACAATCATAGGCTCAACATATAATCTCATCATTATTATTTTTATTTTTATCAAAATGTCTAATGCCCATCACATCTTACGTATAGTACTCCCGCCACCGTGTTTTATAAAATATTTTTTGAAAAAAATTATAAATGCCAATTATTAAGTCAATAAGATACATTTGGAATCTTAACTTTTTTATAAATAAATATATTTTTTTAAAAAAACACTCCATTTAATAAAGGAGCGGAGAAAAAAAAGATATTTAATGAATCAAATAATAAGGGATAAACTAACAAGATGTACACTACAAAAAAAAAAGACTTTCAAGAGCAACAAAATATAGTCACTGCTGATTGTCAATATTTTTTAAAATATGTTATAATTTTTTTTAAAAAATTATGTTACAAGTTTCAGCAGCAACATACAAGTCGCCGCTAAAAGTCGAGAATCAGCAGTGACTTTTTAATGTCGCCGCTGAAAGTCGATTGTCAACATTTTTTATTTCTTTTAAAAAAATTATATTGCAAGTTTCAATGGCCACATATAAGTCGCCATTAAAAGTTAACTTTCAGCGGTGACTTTTTAATGTCGCCACTGATTGTCAGCATTTTTTTATTTCTTTTAAAAAAATTATGTTGCAAGTTTCAGCAGCGAGATACAAGTCGCCACTGAAAGTTGACTTTCAGTAGTGACTTTTTAGTGTCACCGCTGATTGTCAGCATTTTTAATTTCTTTTAAAAAAATTATGTTGCAAGTTTTAGTGGCAACTTTTTAATATCGCCGCTGATTGTCAGCATTTTTTATTTATTTTAAAAAAATTATGTTGCAAATTTCAGCGGCGACATACAAATCGTCATTGAAAGTCAACTTTCACTTTCAACGACGACTTTTTAGTGTCGCCGTTGATTGTTAGCATTTTTTTGTGTTTTCAAAATTAGATTAAAATATTTTTCATAGGAAAAAATATATTTTTCTTTTACTAATTTCATGATGTTCTTTTTATTTAAATTTCAATTTATTTCTATTTCCCTTTATTTAACCAAGTTGTATGTATGTATGTATGTATGTATGTATGTATGCATAGATACACATACATATCTTGTAATATTACAAGTGGAGAGAGGTTTATATTAAGAGATAGAGAAGGAGCCATTTAACTCAATACTTGCAAAATCAAAAGTCTTCTGATTTTATAGAAGTTTAGAAAAATCATGGTTAAATTAGCTCTTTTGATTTGCTTCACTTAATTACCTTTTTTTTTTGCTTAAATTATTTTTGACAAGATTCAACTCTTGTATTTCTTTTGCTTTTTTTTTTCTTCTTTTGTCATATTTGTTTTTCACCTGTAATTTTTTGTGTCTTTTTCTATTTTCCAAAAGAATTTAGATATTCTGTACAAATATCTCTTTCAAATTTTTCTCTTATTTAATTTATTTTATTTTTTATTTTTGAGATTTCTATTTGTTCTTCAATTCTTTTATAATATATTTCTTTATTTCTACCTCTTTTACTTTTCTTTTAGGTTCATTGTTCCTATTTGGTTATAGACTAAGACTCTTAAGACTTATCTTATTCTTCTTTCTTGACTTAGATCCTAATATCTTATCAAACCATCTCATATTTTTATTTCTACAAGTTTTATTTTCTATTGATATTGTTCTTCCTAGACTTAATAGGAACACCACTGCCTAACTTTCCTATTCTTTCATAGGATTTTTGAATATTATATTTCTTAAATATTCTCTGTTTGTTACTAAACTTACTTGGCAATATCATTTTTTTATAAGTTATATGTGATATTATGTTCATGTATCTTTGTTGATTTATTTCAAAAGGGGTGTTATCTATTTCATTTTCTATATTTTCTTCTGCTTTTATTTTATTTGTTATAACGAAGAACAATAAATTCTATTGTTTTAACATATGGACAAATAATTAATATTATATAACCTTTAGAAAAGATAATTTTAGAAAATATAAAATAGGAATAGTTTTGTTATAAATGTGAAAGATTTGGCCATTTTTATAATTTTTTTTTTAAAATTATATTGCAAGTTTCAACGGCAACACTAAAAAGTCATCGCTAATTGTCAGCATTTTTTATTTGTTTTAAAAAAATTATGTTGCAAGTTTCAGCGGCAACATACAAGTCACCGCTGAAAGTCGACTTTTAGTGGTGACTTTTTAATGTCGCCGCTGATTGTCAGTATTTTTTTATTTGTTTTAAAAAAATTGTATTGTAAGTTTCAGCGGCGACATACAAATCGCAGCTGAAAGTTGACTTTCACTTTCAACGGCGACTTTTTAGTGTCGCTGCTGATTGTCAGCATTTTTTAATTTCTTTTAAAAAAATTATGTTGCAAGTTTCAGCAGCAACTTTTTAGTGTCGCCACTGATTATCTTCATTTTTATAATTTTTTTACTAATGTATAATCATCAGTATTTTTATTACTTATTCTTAGATATTTTTTATATTATAATTATAAACATGAATATTAAAATAAATAATATAACAACCTCAAGAAGTAAAAAAAATTAAAATAAATAATACAAATTATATTGTATCAATTATATTTATAGTTTACTTTAAACAAAATAAATAATATAATTTATAATTTTATAAATTGAAAAAATTAAATTGAAGTATTTAAGGATAGTAATGATATTTTATAATATTTAATATTTAATATATATGTGTGTTTGTATAGTTTAATAATATGTGTGTGTATGTATATATGTGTGTATATATATATTTAATTATGCAATATGATTGGACACAAAAGGTTCATTTCAGCTCAATGGCAAAATGATTGGACACAAAAGGAGGAGGTCACGGGTTCAAACTTTGGAGGAGACAACTTTCAAAATGAAAATATAAATTGATGACATGATGACACATGACGTGTGGTGAGAGTAACATGGGGCCATGTGGCGTGAGGTGAGGGGCGACATATGGAGGATGATATGGCGTCACATGGTGCGAGGTGGGGCCCTATGTGGAGGGTGACATGGTGCCGCGCCGCGTGAGGTGGGGCACCACATGGACGGTGACGTGGTGCCATATGTATAAGTAAACCAACATTACTTTTCAGTGACAACTTTTTGGTAGCTTCAGCGGCGATAGAAATAGTGGCCACTAATGCGTGGTTTCTACAGCAACAATTGTCACCGCTGATTCTCAACTTTCAACGACGACTTTTATTATTGCCGCAGATTGAATCAGCAACAAGAACTCTCGCAACGACATTGTGGTGACTTTTTGTTGCCGCTGAAAACTTTCAGTGGCGACAAATGTCGCTGCAGATTCTCAACTTTTAGCGGCGACTTTCTTCATCACCGCAAATTGAATCAGCAACAGAAGCTCTCGCGGCGATATTGTGACGACTTTTTATCGCCACTAAAAACTTTCAGCTATAACTTTTTGACTTTCAACAACGACAAAGTCAAGTTTTTTGTAGTGGTAGTATGGATGATAGGTTATCTCAATCCCTTTAAGCATGTAACAAGGGTTCAATTCTTAGTCCCTTTTTAATTATGGAAAAGAATTTGTTAAGAAAAGTCAGCCCTTTAAATGGAATTCCTAGTGTTTCAAAGGATTAGTATGTGGCACTCACACTATAGGTACTTTGGAGAAATAAAAAAAATAATAAGAAGTAATTTTGAAATAAACATCATTAATAAATTATTATTTTCCTCAAAACATTTTATATTAGAAAACATCAAATCATTCTATAAATTGAGACAAGGAGTATTTCTACCTCTGTGGCAAAACTGTCAAGTGGTCCGATAATTTTTTTTAAATACCGCAATAATCTTCCTTACCCGTGACAAAATCATATGGACTGTGATTTTGACACATTTGTAAATTTTATTGATCTTCTATCTCATACTTATAACGCGTGAAGGGATTTATTGCATGTCTTATATCTCGATGTTGGTCTTAAATTAAGTTGTCTTCACAATTCAACAAATGTTATGTTCATGAGGTCAATGTTTTGGATTAAATAATAATTAACTC